CTGTTATCATAAATTATATAATAATTAATAAAAAAATAAAGATATTTAGCAATAATAAAACTTTAGAATGTATTAATGAAAAATTTTTTTAAAAAATATAAGAAATAAAATAAGCATTAAGACATAATATATATAAATTTTGTAATTTTTGACTGTATAGATAATTATTTAAAAATTATCAAAGTTGAAATTTATAATAAAAACATAGTAAGTGAACTCAAAACTTTTGGAAGCAACCATATCTATAATTTCTTTAAATTATAAATATAATATATAATTAAAAATTTGGTAAATATGTGAATTTTGATAAAATTGAAATTTTGACAAGTATATTAAATCATATAGTAAAAATTAATTGATAATTTATTTATATTATTAATTTATTGAATATTTAATGATTTTTTGAGAAAAATTTTAATGAAATATATAGTAAAAATGGTGCAAATTATATAGCAAATAATACTGAATTATATAATAGAAATTGATTGATGCTTTATTTATGTCAAATTATATAGAGAAATTAATTGATAATTTATAGAATTTATGTTGAATTATATGGTAGAAATTGATTAACTATTTATTTATAGCATTAATAGTTGAATTTTTTTTTTTTTTTTTGATGAATGTTACATGAGTGGCATTATGCCAAATAAATATTTTTTTGACTAGTGTAAGTTAAAACAGTTTATAAAGAAGAAAAATATCTCAAAGCATAATCAATAATTTAATAAAATCATTATAAAAAGTTGTGTGAGCTTATTATCAAATCAAATGGTGATATTAATTTTTTTTAATTTTCTTAAAAAAATTTTCACGTAATATATCACAAAATCAGTCCAAAGACTTTGTATATTCATATGTATAGCCGCTATTTTTACTTAAAATAAAGTACAACCATGATTTTTCGAAAATAAAAAATTGCTATTATAAAATTTGTACAACAATTATTAAAGTTTACTTTTATTCATAAAACTTTGGACTTTTTGGTTTTTCTCGTGGGTATTATTAGACCAAAAAATGCAAAACCTCATTATATACATAAAAGTTAATGATATAGATTTTTTAAGTGTGTCATTGAGTCGCAAAAATCTCGGTATAGAAACTACATTAGTGACAGACAGACAGATAAATCAATCAATAAGCAAATGCAACAATTTTTAAATATTAAGAGTAAAATTTAAAAGTTAAAAACGCTTACTCGGAAACAGACATATTTGATTTATATCTATGATGCATTTCTTCGATAAACTGCCTTCTCACGGAGTAACTATTTTTTTTTTAAAACATGAATGCAACAAACAAGAACAAAAAATCCGATAGAATGTAGATAAATTTAATACTTACGGCTTACTTTGCATATCTAAAATGTTTCTACATGCTTCGTGAGCAGAAATTGCGGTGTTGCGAACCAAGGACCCGAGTGTATGTCTACTAACAATCATGCCATCAACTAATGGTCCAAAGGCCTATTACATATTTCATAGATCGAGAATTGGAAACAAACAGTAAGCAATATGTAGATATATATATACAGTATATATATATATATATATTTAAAAAAAGGCACTCGCACCAAGTGATTTTCGGCTAATTTTGTAATATCAGCGCTCCAGCTCACTTTTCCCTTTCCATGTTTTTTTTCATTGACTCCTGATGCGTTAGACGCAGTAGGAATAATTATTCTAATCCAGTATAATCCAGTAGCATTTTGCAAAGGGTGAACAAAGATATATACAAGTACTGATTGTCCAACTTTTGAGGGAACATTGTGCATGGATAAAATGTCCTCGATCCAAACAATGCAAACCAAATCATCTGCCGAGACATCTCTGAATAGGGTTGTCAGTGAACCTGAGGACGCCTCAGGATTTGGCAAGTGAATTACATAAGGTATATTGAATATCACTTCAACAGTTCTGTCTGCAAAATACGATGTTGTTTTGCAGAATGAAGAATTTAACTTCGCCTTATAACCCGGATGTGAATCCAATGATACCTATGTAAATTATTAGATTGTTAATTATCCTCGGCAACAAATAATTTTTATCTTTAACAAAACCCACAGGCCATCCCAGGCTATTCAAGAACTTTTCAAAGTCCTCGCTAATCGAGGCGGGATTTATGATGGATTCGAGGTCTTCAACTCCGGACCTCACATAATAGACCGAAGTGCTCAGGCAATCTCTCCTGAATTATGTCAAATGCAAGATTATAATGACAATGAACTTATAATACAAATAAATAATAAATCAGAAATGAGAATAAGTTGTTCTATATACACTACTCATTTAATGAATCCAGTCTTTCAAGATCTTTGATAAGTCTTTCTGATATTTGCAGCGGTACCACCTTGTGACGATTATCCAAGGAAATCAATCCCATCTGCGACATAAACAATCTAAATACTTGGGGGCTTTTTTTTCGTTTGAAGACGAGTAAATATTTATCAATTAATTACTATGTCACATGTAACGCAAATTTAGAGCGCCATTTATAAAAATGAGTATGTATATGAATGAATACCTTTCTAGGCTAGTGTTGGATTCCGCAGTACCTACTTTATTGCTGACAGAAAAATTTGATAATGGATTAGTTTACCACCAGAACTAATATCATATGTATATATAATTAGTCACAATATCTCACCTTCGTTTTTCCAATTTAACATTATTTTTTTCCGCTAGGGATTTTTCCTCAATTTCTTTTTGCATGTGGATCAAGTTTCTAATAGAATTATAGGCTTTCCAATTGTCACTTCCTTCTTCAAATATACTACCCACATTAGGTATTTGGTCATCGTTAAACCCGACTACTTGTGAAGAAGTACGATCTTTAGTGCTTAGCTGCTCATAAGAAAAATATTGTGGTGTTTCTGTCCTAAGTATTGAAATAGACGGAGTAGGAGAGAGTAGTTTGGGATCGATAATGTCCTTATCCATTTCGGGAGATAATGGTCGATTCTTGAGACTATCACCAAGCGGAGATTTATAACACATTTTTGAGATCCATGTATATTTCCCCGTGCTATCTCGAAGAACAACAATTACTGATATGTTATCGCCTTTTTCTTCCATGCGTCTTGGAGTTTCTACAAAACCCATCACGACTCTTCCATCGATCAAAAAGTATCGAACTCGTTCGGCAATGAAGGTTTCACCATTTTCCGCGTTCTGTATTCTTGCTAATTCCAGATCATTATTAAACAAGGTTGAGATCCTACTTGGACCAATGGGGTCACTCCATGCAGGAAAGTTTCCCAAATGGTTGACGAATTGAGACATGGCGATTTCAGCGGCAATTTTGACCGCGTATTCTCCTCTTTTTCCATATCGAATTTGTCCTCCGAGATGCGACAAGTTTTCGCTACTCGATGATAAAGTCTTATTGCTTCGGGGCGAAAATAGTTTTGTGGGGACTTGATCTTTTTTGCTTTTTTTCTTATCGATTGAAGAGTTGGATGCATCATCGTCATTATTTGGAATCACCGAGATCCCCTTGCTAATTGTTGAGATCACGGCTTCATGACAGTCACGGTCGCCAACTATCCATTGGCCGATAAGTATCCATCGCATCATGCAATCATATGCCTTTTCGATCAAATGATAATTCGTGGCCTAGCAGTGTGTATATTCGGTGAGCATTAAAAGATCCGCACGAATTAAAAAATGGAACCGAAAGAAAGGGAAAACATAGTGTACTCACCAACCCGCTGGCAAGCATCGTGTCAATGTAGCGCGAAAGAACCAAGACCAATTCCCTAGCGCAGTTCTGTATGTAATCAACTCGTTAAAAATTAAAAAGGTTTCCCAATCCATTGAAGGGTGAGTTCCATACCTTATTGTCTCGTTGAACGTATTCGTACAACCCCACGAAATCTTTTAGAACATCGAACGCACATGAAGCCACATCAGCGGGAAGATTCATTGTTAAAACCTGTGCCATAATGAACATCGTGATAAATCTTTTTCAGTCACGTCCAAGTGATTAATCCACATTTACCATCATTGGCAAGGAGATCTGCAAACCTTTTCTTGGATCGATTTCACCACAAGGCCAACTAGCCCAGGACAAAAAGCTACATCCTCGACTACATAGACATTGATCAGGTGAAGCAGGTATCGAAGATTATAAGATGATTTTTCTGTCTTCAATGATTTCAGCAAAAGCTCTAGTATGTAGAATTTCAACTGCAGATATCGAAAGATTAACAAATGCGCAGGAAAATTTTAATGCAGAAGGCACACATCCAGTAATTACAAACTAATTTACTAGATTGACCTACAGCTGTAAACGGTTCTGTCGAATTTTCGTTGGGTAAATTCTCTCGGCTATCCTCTTCGGAATACAAAACCCGCATCTAAATATAAAATCACTTCAGCACCCGAAAGTACCCGTAGAAATAAATGTCCTCAGATTATTGATCCTTACTAATTCGTTAACAACAATTTCGTCTGGGTCATTGTTGGCAACTTTTTCGCCGTTTTGAAGCAATCCGACATTCCAGTTCTCTCTTAACGACACTTTCTCAAAATGGTTTGGCAAACACATGATAGTACTTGCCACCCTAATCGCAGCCAATCTCAAGTCTTCTAGGGGATAGTCTGTTTTAAAACCTGATGCTAATTTTGGTAGAACCATCTTTATGCCCACCACGAAATCAGGCACCATCATTCGTACCCCCTCCAGATCTGTTGCGAAGAGGTTAGAGGTGTGCATCAAAATAATTGGCAAGCAACTGTCCGTACGCAGGCCTTCGGTAAGAGTGAAATAAAACTGTGTGATGTAATCCCTCGAGAACTTCTCGCGTCTTTGAGGTAAACAGAATATCCTGCATAGAATCCCAAAAGATTCCGCTCGACCGATTTGATAACCAGGATCATTACGATTCATTGTGCACGCCTGAAATAACCATGGTCCAAACATATGCAGTATCGTGTTCCCGTCGGGTATTATGACAAATGAACTTTCAATTTCGTTTTGGGCCGATTTCTGAATATTAGCTTGTCCAATGGATTGAAATGCATCAATCACTCTGCCAATTCCCATGATTGCCAACGAAAAGTTTGCGGGTGGCAACAAACATGGATTATCGATTAGATAGATCATCCTGTGCCACGCAAAGTAAACGAATTCGTTTGGCAAATCTAGACCAACATTATATCCGCCGACTGATATGTTGACCATCTCCTCTCCTTCCTTCGGGCCATACAATAACCTTACGACACGCTGTGTCAGCGCCAATATTGTGGCGTTCCACTGTTGTAAAGCCTGTGGACGGTGGGACCATTGATTAAAACATTTTTTAAAAATATTCCACATTTCAGCCTCTTGAATCCTCGATCTTAACCACAATTCGAAAAGGACTCTCAATAAATGTTCACATAATTCATCCGCCATTGTCACGGCTGTCCTTTTCTCAACGATGACATCTGGTGTTACCGACGAAGTGGGTTCATGCAGAAGACAATCTGTTATGCCCAATACAACTTTCAGGAGAACGAGCCACGTCTCCTCCGAAAAACGAGGACCCAAGGTACGTCCCGCCATCGTTAGCACAATTAAGACACCCTTGCATAGTTCGATATGGCGTTGCAAATACGTGAAGGTTGATGATGTTTGATTGGCCGAGGCGGGAAATCCGGGTGTCGTCGGTGTTGATGTGGTGGGCGTGTTCGGGTTCTGCACACGAGGTTGAAAGAGTAGAGAGTAGTGATGGAAAATCGTCTAGAATCGTTCGTTTAACGAGACAAGGTTAACTCGTGTTAAAAAGAATGATCATAGATATATGGAAACTTCATAATACGCGGCGTCAACATTTCCGCACCTGCCAAAACTCTTGTTCTTCTCGTTTCCCAGTAGCATCTCTAACAGCCGCTGGTCGAAAATTTGGTTCAAACAACCATTGGGAATACAATTCTTTGGAATTTGATGTTATTGCCATTTCCTCTAACGGCAATGCGAATCCTTGTCCTATCGCTTCCATGGCCCACCTGACGTGCGACATGGACAAAAGAATACTTGGATCATGTGGTTGCAGCAGTGTTTGTGTTATTTCTGATATAAGTACTTTCCGAACGCTCAAGGGAAACTTTGCCAGCACGTTGCTTTCTATCAAGGAATGAAAGTTACAATCGAATGAGGGATAACCGGAAATTTTGCGACGAAAATAAACAGAAAATTTCCGGTGCGAGGTGAGACATACCACGATTATGTTCGAGAAGGTTTAAATGGGAAATCCAATGCAGAAACATTGCTTTAAATATGAGATCACAGCCACCGCACCGATTTTATCAGATTATGCTATGGCAATTCTTTGTCCGTTGGAAGATAGATAGCATCAAATACATCAAACATGCGTTAACGTTAGCACATGCCGAGGAGGGGGACCCAGAGATTTACGCAGGACTTGCCTGAATATATATGGATCATATGTCTAGAGCTGTTTGGACGAATTTTGTTCCAAAAGGTCTGACCGCAAATTAATGTTCATAAGTGACAAGTTAATTTCGGAATTGCATTGAGGCCTTTTTCGAAATTAAACTGTCGATCAAAAGTGCTTTAACATTTTTGTGCATACTGAGGTAACACCATTCTGTGTTCCACCAATCTATGATGTGCACAATGGGAACATACTTGAATTATCACCGCCTCATCTATGGCATTGTCCCGAAAGAATAAAAAGCGTAAAGATGTTACTGCGAATGCTGTCTATCGGTAACCTTCTTATGAAATAGCGCATCTTAATCTACGAATTGAAAGTCGATTTTCAGATTACAAGCCTCATCGTATTAATTTATTATGGCTAATGAAAGGTGAAACGAATAGTATCAATAGAATGAAATGGAAATGGCAATGGTTGACATAAATATTTACAATGCATCGATAGAAAAATTCTGCTTCTCGGTTCCGGGTTTGTCGCTGGTCCAGCGGTGGACTATCTCTTGCGGCGTCCCGAAAATCATTTGACCATCGGTGAGCGTTGTCCCATGATATAATCGTCGCACAACAAAGAATTACCTTTTACTTATTTATTTTGAATTTACCTTTCGTTTAGCTTGTAGACATGTCTCCAATGCCGAAGCACTTGCGAAACAATTTCCACGAGCAACGCCAATCTCCCTTGATGTAAAAGATAAAAATGCGCTCGATGAAGCGGTCTCTAATCACGACTTGATCATTAGGTAAAGGTCTTTTTCTCGCTGATGAAATAATCAAAATGGGCAGTTCCGTTGACGTCTTCTTCGATCCACCAGTTTAATTCCTTACACACATCATTCCTTCGTGATTGAATCGGCCATTAAATTCAAAAAGAATGTCGTCACCACTAGTTACGTTTCTCCAGCCATGAAAGCATTCGATCAGGCGTAGGTTTCTTGTTTATTTCAATTTCGTTATATTTCAGATTTGTTAATGAGAAAAAAAAAAAAAATTTTTTTTTTTCTTTTTTTCTTATTAGTGCCAAAGAGAACGGTGTCACTATTTTGAATGAAATCGGTCTTGACCCTGGTACGAATTTTTGTGGGAATCGTGACATGATTGTAAGAGGATCGCGTTTTCTATCATGAATAATGAGTCTTTCTTTCTTTCTTTCTTTCTTTTTTAAAGGAATCGATCATCTTTACGCCGTAAAAACAATCGAACAAGTCCATTCGGACGGTGGGAAGGTATAAAGCCACGGCTTCATTGTTGGTAGGGTAATTAAATCTATATTGATATAATGTCTTCCAATTTAGATTATATCTTTTATTTCCTACTGCGGAGGCCTTCCGGCTCCTGAAGCTTCCAACAACCCGTTAGGGTATAAGTTCAGCTGGTCGTCTCGTGGTGTATTACTAGCGTTGCTGAACTCGGCTAAATACTATCAAAACGGAGAGGCACGTCTCCCAAATTTATTATGCAACTTTACCTTCAAATAAATAAATATACATACATGTATATTACTTTAAATGACGAGTAAACTTTGGTTTTCGTAGATTGTCGAAATCCCTGCCAATCAACTTATGCAAGTCGCGAAACCCTACGTCATATACCCAGCTTTTGCATTTTTGGCTTATCCAAATAGAGATTCCACTCCGTTCAAAGAATTTTATAACATCCCAGAGGCTCAGACAGTTTTGCGCGGGACCCTACGCTATCAGGTTCGTCATAAGTTGAGCCACTTTAATATATTTGTTATGTGTAATCCGCATGCGAAAAAATAACACCACACCCGTTTTTCACAGGGATTTACCGATTTTGTCAAAGTTTTGGTTAATATCGGCCTGCTCAATGATTCCGAGCAGGAATACTTAAGACCAGATGCACCAGATATAACATGGGTATATACCTTTTTTCAGATTGAGGTTGGAGATTGACTTGATAGTATTGTTGCTACATATCTGACCGAATTCTTCAATATATAGAGGGACGTGCTAGCGAAAACCCTCGGCGTGACCGATAGCTCCGAAGTGTAAGTTCGTGACTTCTTTTAAGCATCGAACTCATTCAATTTACTTACCCACAGTTTCGACCACTAGTAACCTTCGAGCTCAAATTTCTTCAAAGACATCGGGAATACCTGAAGAGGAGGTGGAAAGAATTCTCAAAGGCTTCAAATGGATCGGCCTCTTTTCTGATAACAAAGTGTATCTCCGAGGAACGCTACTTAATACACTTTGTGCGACACTAGAGGAGAAGATGAAATACGCTGAAGGTGAAAGGGACATGGTTATCCTTCAGCACAAATTTGAAATTGAAACTAGAGATGGAAAAAGGGTATGGATTATTGTACACGCTTAATCGGATACGATTGTATCAACTAATGATTGGATATTTCACATCAACTAATGATTGGATATTTCACATCAACTAATGATTGAATATTTCACATCAACTATCAAGGAAATTTGGACCTCAACTTTATTGGAATATGGAAAACCCTCAGGACCGTCGGCAATGGCCACCACAGTCGGTACGCCTTGCGGTATTGCCGCTCAATTGGTCTTAGATGGTAAGTACGGACTTATAATGCTTTTTTAAAGATCCACACTCACTCACTTCGTCAAATCGATTCGCAGGAGTTATCAAACAGAAAGGGGTTTTGGCTCCGTACACACTGGAAATCATTAACCCCATAATTGAGATCTTGGAAAAAGAAGGCATCAAAATTATCGAAGAAAGATTTGAATCCTAACCTACCTCTGCACCTAATTCTATTATGCTAATCTCATGTGCATAATTTTTGTTTTTATTAATATCATATTATTTTAATGTTTGAAGTGTAATGTTCGTTCTTTATCCAACCGGCAATGATTTTGTCTATGAAAGAAGTTATTCCGATTTTCAATTCGGCCTTTCATTAACCTTCGTGTCTTTGGTGACTTGTGCCCAATGTTTATTAATGAAAGTCGCGATTATTGCTGCTTTACCAACCCCTTGATGAGTAAAGTTGCATCACCGTCTGAGCATTGGCATTATCGAGAAATTAATAAGCGCAAAGGTCACGCACATTTAACCATTATCCCAATGAAAAAGATGATAAATTTGTAAGGAGTACATGATTTGATCGTCATATTGACAGAACATGTTTCCGTCTGTTAAGTTCATCCATATACCTGTGTATCGAGTGATCGCAATTTTACAGTAGAGAATCAATCGAGGAATCGTTATCTGATTCTATATCAGGTTTCAAAACCCATCAAATTTTATCGATTTTTCTTACAACAGATTTTATCCATGGTCAATATTAAGAAAGCGAAAACACAATTAATAATAGAATGCAGGAAGTCATTCGTAGGCATCTTTCCGTCATGGCTCCTCCTTTTTTTGAAATACACCCTTTTTAAATCCCCGAGTTTAAGCATCGCTTCTTCATAACTTCCCAATGGACCCTATAACAATTCAACGCACGTTTTCCATTCATGAACTCTCTAACCAAAGACCATTTGGCGCCATGAACTTCAACGGCTTCCATCAACTTATTCTCTTCCCCTTTGGTCCAAGGAGACCTGCCGCTCGACGAATTACCATAATTCCTCTTTGTTCTGGGTTTCTTTTCATTCATTGAGGAATTTTCGTCAACTTTTACCTTTCTTTCCGTCTCCGTAGAATTTTCAGCGACCCTTACTTTCTTCTCGGTCGCAATAGAATCTCGAGAGTGATTTACTTTTCTTTCGGTCACAGTGGAATCTCTAGCGGGCTTCGCTTTCTTTTCGATCACGGTGGAATCACCGGTAAGCCTTACTTTCTTCTCCACCACGGTGGAGTGTTCTTCAAACTTTCTTTTCCTTTCGATCACAATGGAATCGTCCACTAGCAGGTTTATTATACGCACTTTACTTATTCGCTCATCAAGGAATTGAAACGAGAGTTTAGATAATAATAAGGATTCTGGAAACAGGAATCTTTACCGCTAGGATTGGTCTTCCGTTTACCGAATGGTGGACCTTGAGTTCCGCCAGGGCTCTTACTTTTCTCCGAATCCGGCCGCTTAATTAATAACGATTTATCGGTTAGTAAAAAATTACTACCGTTCTTTCAACAAAAAAAAACGATACTCGCAACGCGCTTGTCGTTATTAACTTTTGATTTTTCGCTTTTATCATTTGACGTTGTGAACGTTAAAATGCTCTTTGACGGATTAGGAGTCGACAGGGGCACGTAATCATTGTGTGGATCATCAATAATGATATCTTCGAAAATCAAAGATGAAGATTGGGAATTTCCTTCGATGTCGATGAAGGAGTTTTCGTGAGTGCGATGTTGCTTCAAAAAGTGATTCTATTAAATTTCAATAGGGTTCAAATAATTGAAACGACAAACAGCAACTTTTTAAAAGACCGAGATTCAGAAATCTTTAAAGTACACCGAAATCTTCTTCCCATCCGGTATACATTCCGACGTTAGCTCGTTCCTCTTCGGTATCGTCATCGAATATTTCAATGCATTGATTAGAAATCTCGCTCAAATCTTTCCCGCTCATTCCTCCATCGCCATTCTCGTCGAGATATGTGCCCGTTAAATTGGATGCCCATTTCTTCTCTGGTTGACCCAGGTAAAGTTGAAAATCCATCTTCTTGGCACCTATTTACATCAATCGCCGCCTCAGAGTTATTTGGAAACGGGTTTTTTATATAGCAAATGAAATGGAGGTTCCTGTGTAGCAAAGCATGTTATATTACAAATCATGTTATATAAAAATTTCGTCATATAGGTGGGAATCCTTAATCAATTAATACGCCCCCCCGCCAAGAGAATGAGCAAAATTTTCGAGACTAACGATCACGCTACCAGTTGATCTAAGACGGGAATTACAAAATATGATGAAATCAAGCGCTCACCATTTCACGCTTTGTTAGTGATAATGTACGCGTAATTATGCGATAATCCGTTCTGATATCGCGGTACATGAAATTCTGCATCTCATATTATGCCGCGATCAAAATTTGATGCATCTCTTGATCTTTTACGGAAAGCGAAAATGTATAAATCCGCAAAAAAATTCGATTGACAAAATAATGGCATCTTTTAATTCTTCCGGTGTTACCTGTCGACTGTTGATTATTATTATTCTCGCTCATATCGCGTTTTCGCCAACTATCATTCGCGCCGAAACTCCACCACCTTTGCCGATACCTGCTCACGTGCCGGTAATCGGTGAAAACGCGCAGAACACACCTGCCGGTATTTATTCACCAGAAATGTCTATAAATAAAGCTGGTGCATTCTTGCCGGGTGGTGGGGCAATCCTTGCGGCACCTATGCCTCAATGGGGAGATTTACCCGTTATCGACTCTGTTGGCGGACAGAGTTTCATCAATCCAAATAATGTGAACAAGAGACGAGGTTTCGCGAAAGGGATTCAATGAACGTCCAAATGAATGTTAAAATCAAAGACAATTTAATTAATATATTTAAGATGTATCATCGGTTCCTTTACAATTAACTTGATTTTTTTTAAAATATTTCTTAAAGTACAAATGAGAATGATTAAGTTTACACAAACGGTCATCTATATGTTGAAATGAATGTGGTGACACTGTGACAAGGGTGAAGAATCTCGCTATTGCTATTGAACAACGGCACCCTCCAACCCCACGATAATGGCAGCCCCACTGCCCGGCCGAGTCGCAAAGATGGCATCATTCAATTGTTTTTTGGTCAAGTGGGGGAACAAAGGTTTATAGTAATTGGCAATGACATGTTGAATAAAGGGTTCGATCTGATCTTCGCGAATTAGTGAAACGGTGCAACCTGTTTTTTCGAAATTCAAAATATAAATAAGCAAATAAAATTGCGAGATTCTTCCATCAAATGCGAATGAATTTCACCCACCACCCCAACCGGCCCCGGTAAGTCGACTTCCAACAGCACCGCCATCCAAGCAAATTCTGACCAGCTTATCCAACTCATCACACGAACAATCGAACAATTTCTTGCAGCTCTCATGACTCTGATTCATCAATCTTCCCAAATTTTCAAATGTCTCTTGTCCACCAACATCATTTTCCTTCACTTCTCGATCTCCGACATTACTTTTCTCGCTCGCAAGACAAATCTCGTGAAACCTCAACACTCTCAGGGCTTCATCGAACACGTGCTTCGATCGTTTGTACAGATGAAACCTCTCAGCTCTCACCGGAAATTTCGATAAAAACTTTGCGTGAATTTCCGACTTTGACAAATTCAACAGCTCGGCCAATTCATCCAGAGAATGGCCTTCTCGCTTATTTGGCTCAGAGTAGTGATTCTCCACAAATTCCGAGAGAAATTCGAGATGGGAGACTTTCACCTCGCTGGTCTCGGAATGCAAATCGCAAACTTGCTTCAGATTCTCACACTCCTTTCCGAACAAAGTTTTGCCCAAATCGTAAGCCGCCAATTTTGTTTCGATCACACGCAGGTTGTAGTGAATCGGAGCCGTGACTACTTTGTCGGCCGTTACAAGAGAGTTGGCTATAACGAATGCGATTGGAGGATCGATGGAGGGCAGTCTTACCGGCGTCGCATTGAGAGAGGGTAAGAATTGAATGTAGAGCGCGTGCCCCTTTTGTGAAAAGATCGAGGCCGTCTGATCCATTCTTAAATTATCAGTCATTATTTAGCTTTAAAATACTGTATGTACTTGTTAGCGACTGCGTCGTGTGATAGTTAATCGGCTTTAACTTACCCCCCCGTGTTCATTCCGCAAAGCCTCTCGCTTTCAATGGAAATCTCGGTGATTTGCTTTTTCGTCAGATTTGCGTTATTAGCAAGGGACGTTGCTAAGGCGACGCTGCACACAAATGCCGAAGAGCTGGACAATCCAGCCCCGCTCGGCACCGTCCCGTCCACCAAACAATACATTCCCTTGGGATTGTCTATGCCGAGGTATTGAAGTATACCCTAATCGGAGAGGTTGGTGAATAGGGAGGAGGAGGAGGGAGGGAGGAAGTCGCGCTAAATGACGATTGAGAAAATTGAACTTGGAAAGTACCTTATAACCACACCTGAAGTAATTGCACCAAACGGATACCCCTTCCTCGACTATTATTTCCACAATTTTTTCTTTCCCCTCGAATTCCCAACTGCTGGGCTTGTACTTTTCCCCATTGACATTTGCAATCCGAACTCTCCTATCCTCATCATCATCCGACACATCCACCGCGATCAAGATGTCACGACTAAGGGCCATCGGGAGGACTCCAAAACCCGCGTAATCGATGTGCTCGCCGATTAGATTAACCCGTCCGGGAGCCCTAGAAATGAACTTTGGGGAACGATTGGGGTAAACCGAACGAAAGGTCTCGATTAGGGCTCTGCAACGGTCACTCTGGGCGTTGACATCGAGAGGAGGGTATATTTCAGAGATCGATGAAAGCGAAAGGATCGGTACATAATTCGTCGAATGCGCCATGATTCACTTGGTTGGGGGATTTGTTAAAAGATAAAAAGAATTGCCTTGTCAAATTAAATGATTCCTGTGTCAGAAGTGAAGGTATCAAGGTGTCGCCGAGATATTTCGTTGAATTTAAAAAAAGGGTTAAGACGAACCATCCAAATCAATCATTTATATGCTATTCATTTCAAAACTTTAACATTTTTATTCGCATTCTTATTAGTATTAGTACGTGCCATTCATTATTCACATGATTCGAACTTGTGTGTGAATGGATCGCTTTTGCGCATAAAAAAAAAAATTTTTTTTTATTGAATGCCGAGGTAAGAATGTCTCACTAACAGATGCACTTTAAAAATTCACGAATTGCAATTCAAAGTTGAAATAAATAAAAATGTCAATGAGTTACATTCTACAAGAACAAACATTCTAAGGTATCACATTTTAATGAAAATGATGAAGATTCCTTCCTTGAAAAATAAAAATCCGACCAATAAAATCGTTATTATTTTGTGGCACGTGCCGCAAACTTTACATTAATACCGGCGATGGTTCAGAGTTTCTCAGCTAACTCTCATCACCGTCTTCGTAACCAAAATATGGCTGACGCGAAAGCGCCTAATATCATTGGTGTTAATAAGAGTACCATCAACTCACTATTCTTGTCATTCAGAGATTCCATCGATATTCATGTAAGGAACAACAACAATTCATGCAAACAATGGTTAGAAAGTTGCGGATCACTACTAAATTTGCAACGAATCTGAAAAAAAAAAAAAAAGCACGATAGAAGGGAACGTATAATCAAGTCCTCAAGAGATATTACAGCATTGAGCAAGAAATTGATATACACCGCCCACAGGTATTTTCTCATTATGATCGTCAACAATATGATTAAGGTTTATTGCATACATGATCAACTTTTTTTTTCCCACGTCTATTAAGAGTCACACAGAAACCGCTGAAATCGATACTCGACGAAGCGCAAACGAAAATATCCGAAATACTCGAGTCGTTTAGGCGGATTTCTGTTGAATTAGAAGGTATAAATTTTCACAGGTAATTTCAATCCTCCGGATTGATTTTTTCTTTTCTTTTTTTTTCTTTTCTCTTCTTTCCTTTTCGAATAGAGATGGGGAAATTGAGAAAGTAAGTTTTAAGGGAAGAACAATCACTATAAGTTTGCTGCATACATTTGGATTTCATGATCAGCAGATGTCTCCTGATTCTTTTTAAGGTCATACGATGAACATGATATGGGATGATCCAAAATTCCTGTTGTCATCAATAGATACTACAAAAGCATTTCTCCATCAATCCAAGAATACATAGAGGCCATTTCTTTCCTTGAGTATTTGGAAAATGGTGTACTGATTACCAAAGAAGGTGTTGAAAAACAATTTAAGGATGCGGATGGAAACCAGGTAACGTCGATATTCCAATGTTCACGATGATGTCATTCTTTAATGAACATCTACAAGTTCTGAAAATAGTTTTTGCAAATCACCTACGACGATTACTTGCTGGGCGTCGCCGATCTAACCGGAGAACTGATGAGGTATGCGATCAATTGCATAGGCGCGGGAAACCACGATCAGGCGCTGAAGGTTTGCCAATTTTTGCGCGACATAAAGTCAGGTATGCTCATTTAAATATTGCGACGATCCTCGACAGTTTACGAATCGACAGAAGAGATAATTCGAGTCAACCTTACCTTAATAATCCGCCATATTTCCTTTCAATGGAACGAGTATAATAGGTTATGAAACTCTAAGAATTTCAAAGAAATCTCAGCTGTGGTCAAAGGTGGAAACAATGAGAAAAAGTTTGATCAAAGTTGAAGATGGTTCGCATCCTTCATATATCTTTATCACACCATGAATGTCTGTTTAATATACTTATTTGGGTATGCTAAATCGGTTGTTAATTATGTTGCGCTTCGGTGTTTCGTGTAGCCTGCTACGCGATGACCATTCGCGGATCGGGTATGTTATATGTTCTTTGAATCCGCTTATCGGCTCCTATACATGCTAACTCTGCAAAAATCTTCAGAGTACCCCAAGAATTTTTATCAATACATTGTAAACGAGCATGCGAAAAAATTTGAGACTGGCATGGAGATTGATGGATGAGAACATTCTAACCTCTAACCCTCTCCTCCTTCCAATAATCAACATCTTAGAATTAGCTACTTGGATTATTTCGTGCTTCGTCATCATCATCATCCTTTCTTTCCATACGGAATGTTATTTAGGGATTGGCGGCGGGTCGTAGGTTTTGTGATACATCTTTTACGCAAATGAAGAAGAAATTGACGGTGAAGTAAAACACAGGCGTGTATATTGTCGTTTAGAATTTGGAATCTTTTATATGGACATCTTTTGTTTAAAATGACGATAGCCATGGGTCACCCATCATCGTAAAAAAAAAATATATATATGTTGAATTTTGGAACTGAGTGCAAAATAAGAAAATCCATATGTCAAACGCAATTTTTAACGTTTTCATCTCATTAAAATATCCATTTTCCTTTTTTTCTAAAAACCACATATATATATCCAACATTAATTAACTCATTAATTCTAATTATAGAGGAATCATAAGCTTTTCTAGTTACATCGTGATATAAATAATTATGTAATGCCGGACACCACAAATAAGGAAACGAAACGTGTTTGCAACGAACACGACATCCTAATCGGAGATTAATATGTTATGTTAAATACGTTATGTAATTGCCCTAAAACGCTACCGAAAGTCAAAACTTTCGGTAGCCCCCCCCCCCCCAATTTTTTTTTCTTTTTTCTCAGTTATAATTCTTCTCTCATAAGAAGAATAGGAACGCTACTATCTAGAAACCCTGAGCAAAAGGATTTATATTTAATTAAAGCATTCCACTCACAATTGGACCACTCTGAATTAACGACACAACAAACCTGGTTCGAATATTTCTATCATTTTATAACTAAAATCATGAATGTGTTTGTTGGCCTTTGTCACCGTTTTTTTCGATATTTCTCGCGACGTTTCCACGTGCACGCGAGTCAATGCATCGCCAAAACATCGCAGCACAACATTCATGTGTTCATCGGCGAAACAAGATGAAAGGCTCACCGAAAAACTCTTCAGTGGCGCCTTGGATTTGACGAAAAAGGTTTCCAGTGACAAAGGCGAAAACGTCCATTGCGCTGCGATCCCAAACTCGCTAAGATTCGGTAACTCGTGATTCGCCAATTGCAATAACAAATCATCGGCCTCTTCGTCGCATCCAGCGATCATTACTTTTTCCAGTAATGGGCAAGACGCGAAAAGCAACACCAGCTGTGGGAACTCCTTTTTTTTCGCGAAATATTCGAAGTGCACCAAGTTCGGACAGTATTTGGCGACCGACAATGCCACCGTTGGCACAAAATCGTCACATGACGGATAATAGTATTGGGGCAACGAAAATGTCGTGATTTTCTTCCCCGAATTTTTGATTATTATTTCGGGGATGATTATGGGAAATCGAAACCACGCGACATTGAACACCAATTTCGTTAACTTTGGAAAATGCGAAGCTGATATCATTTCCACTTCACTGCAACGAAAGTTTGCCTGGACGAAGCTCATCTCCTGCAGGTTGGTCAGATGAACCAATTCGGAAAACACACTCCAGTCTTTGACCATCCCCTGAAAGTAAAATCGGCGTAATGTCTTTTGCTGAGAACGGAGTCCGAACATAATTGCTGGTAAGACGCGAGGTTTACATTTGATGAATTGTATATCCTGCAGCGCCGTTTGCGCGTTTATTAATTTTCCCATGTTTCGTGCATGTTCGTTACTTTCGTTTCTACCGAAATTTGACATGTTAATCACAATTTTCCTTAACCTTCGAGAAACTTTGGACAACGCCACCAAAAATTCGGAGGTCCAATGCGTAGCGCCCCAGTAAAATTCGACGAGTTGTGATAGACAGTTATCTGCACCGCGATAGGTTGGAATTAATAAAAGTTCGTCCGGAATCTCTCTGCACGTGATCCAGAATGAGATGTTGGGTATGCTCGAACATCGATAACTATCCGACGACCATTTTCGATTAGCCATATCGATCGACATGTCTCTCATGTTCGAACAGTGTAATACCAAGAGTTTGCATATGTCACGAGCCATCTCTTGAATCACCTCGTTCTCCCAATTGCCCCCATTTTTTAGTTGTGAGGTGCTATGCTGACTAGCTATTACAAAGTTAAGATCTTGTTTAGTCCTCAAATACTTAACACCGTCCGTTAGAGCCAAAAATAAGTCATTAAGGTCGATGTGACGCAAAAAGGATAAATAATTGAAGGTGGTAGGTGATGCCGTCGTCCATACAACAAAATCTTGCATATCAATGCTGGTTGAAGTTTGATTATGAGCCATGCAAGTGATAAATGTTGAAAGAAGGTTCCTTGCTTTCTTGTGTAAAACTTCACTCGTGCAATTACATGATTTGGAGCATGTATATAAGAATCTAAAAGGTTTTTTCCACAAAAACTGAACGGCAATTTCACACCAAGCACGGTTGACCCGGAGCGAAGAGTGCAAAGATTTTTTATCTTGTTCAAGATTACTAAATATTTGCCACAAGCAGTCTCGGTTAAGTGCCACCATTATGAAAGTAGGACTTGATAATTTCTAATTTAGAGCAGTCTTATTTGCAAATGTGATATCTACAAGGATTCGAAGCAGTGTGAATGTGTCCAGAGAATTTTCGATTTTTATAGCGTGTCTAATTGTTACACAATGCTGTGAAAAGCCACCCGCGTATATTGCTGAAGTTGCCATTTTTAAAAAAACCGCCTGGTCCCAATCATATTTATTATTTTTTATGTAGTAATTGAATTTTCATTAAAAAACTTCCTTTATTTATATTTTTTTTAAAACGATTTAAAGCGGTAGCGGTATAATTGACAAGTAATAAATTTATTATTTCTTTTTTTAAGGGATATTGGATTTTAGCTCCTAATGTCAATCAAACACAAATCAAAGATGCGAAATTAACTTTTTTATTATTCTAATTATAGTTAATAGTTTTTGTTAGCAAAAATATAAAAAAATACATCTAAGATATATTATATTAAAATATTAAGTAGATATCTAATAAGTTACAAACTTTTATATAATAATTAATTTATCTTTTACATTATTAATTAAAGGATCCTACTACTTAAAAAATATAAATTTATTAAATTAATTTGAGCTAAACAAGACTACAGTTGCTTTCAAAAGTTTACCATGTTTTTATTATAAATCTTAACTTTAAATCCTTAATTATATAATTAAAAAGGCTAATCTTCAGTTTACGGGGTACGATAATCACCGTGATATCTAAGAGGGAAATGTGATTATCTCGAAAAA